CCTGTGGCGATTATTTCAGTGAAAAGTCTTGCCATTGAGAAGGACGATGCCGTTTCTTTTATGTTGACAAGCTATTTTTATTGACATATTTGTTGCAGACACCTACAATCTCAAGATATGGTTTGATGCAAATTAGTTGGATGGAGACGTCGGTTCATACTGAATTTTTGTTTTTTCTTTGGTATCTTTTCAGGCAGTTAACGTCATGTGCTCATAGTTTCGTTTTCTATCGCCACTTCTAGCTTCACATTTTAGTGGAGATTCAGCTTACTGCGACGCTTAGTTTGATTTTTGATGGCCGAAAAATCAGGTTTATTTTTTGAGTAGCACCCTACAAATATAATATGACACAACATTTGTGACTTGCATGAATATGACTTGTAAACTGCAAGCTGACCAGCATTAAGAAACTAATTTGAGCCCTAAGAAGCTTGCAAGAAGAGTAAATGACATGAACAATGATTTTACATAACTTACTGGTCAGTAATGCAGGCCGATAGTTAAAGACCATGCTTGCCCGATTTGCTTGAAGAAATCATTCTCCATACCCGTTAGTCCTCAGGTATTTGAAATGTGTGAAATGTTTGCTGAAACAGTTCATCCAAAATAATGAAAGGGTGACTGCAGCAGGAAGACCCACTTTCTACAGTCGCTACTTGTCTTTCTGCTGTCGACTTGGCTCGCCGAGATATAGTAATGAATGCACGCTACGTCTGGGCGACGAAGAAGCCACGCGACAGTGCGAATGTTTCAAAGTTGTATGGGCGACGAGGTTCAATAAAACGTTTACGCAATCAAGAAATACTGTTTATGAACTTCCACGTGTGTAAATTCCAGCAAAATAATGTGTTCGTGTTTAGGCATGATACTCTGAGGCTTTGCTTCCAGTTCACGGAAGATCACCAAAGATAATCTCGCTCCAAAGACAACTGGAACTTGGATTCCCATTCTGTGTTTTATCTGATAAGTGCACCTCGTGTTTCACTAGACTCTCAAGGAGAATAAATGTCACGCTGTTATCTTTGACTTGTCTTGTTTTGTTGGTGGAACGATGTCAAAAATCGGAAAGATATTCCTTCGGACCCAGTTTAACAAACAGAATCGTTGGCTTAATATTCAATTTGTTTTATATACGTTTTGTAGAATTGCTCAGGAATCCAGTTCAATTCTTCTTTAAAAAACAAATCGCCAAGAAGTTCGCTACGGACTATTTAGCACGAGCAGTGCGATCGTGTTTTGCTACACAAAGTCTTCATGTGTGAAACTTGGGGTCCTGGTGGTTGTCAATGGCGTAAAACGATAACGTACTCTTTTTACTGAATATTATTTTGGAATCGTTCCTTCGTAAGCCTTTAGAAAGACATATAACTTACGCGTTAAAATGAAATGGTAGGCGTACTATTTTGTTTAGCTCGATAGATATCTTTAAAAAAAAGCTTTACTAACAAGAGGCAAGGGAATCGGAGAGAAATCCGTTTTCTGTACTGCTCCATTAAAGCGAAGGGAACGAACGCTCGTATTGCTATTCGGTCCTTTCTATAGCGCAATAAATTCTTGTAAAATCATTATCTACTGAGAAAGTAAATAATTACTATAAATAAAAGAAGCTGTGAGGCATTTTGTTTTCTAGATTTGGATACTAAAATTGGTGACGAATGACAAGAGGATGATGTAGACCTTTTCAGCGTCTTTCTATTTTGGCACACACAGTAATCAACAGAATGAGCCCGGACGCAGAGGCGACATATTGATCAAAGCAGGCAGCACTTTATTGGTGCTCGAGTGCACCGCGTGGTTAGATACAAAAATGATTTCAAGTTACTTTTCTTTTTACACCAGATGCAGGTGTTTATATTAGGGACTTATAGTTGGCTGCACGCTAGAGCTTCGCGTAGCTAGGTGGGGCTCGTCCGAGACTTCGAAGCATGCATTGATCTCTCGCCCGTTAGACCGACAATCCGCAGCGTAGGGTCAACTAAAAGTTTCTAATGAGAGCTACTGTGCATAAACAAAAACCGGTTAAGTGACTAACAGCTTCAAGAAACGCGCGTGTGGCGAGTGCCGGAATCTTATGATGGCTTCGCGGCCAATATCATCGCGGCGTTAAAGGGCTTATGATGGCTTCGCGGCCAAATATCATCGCGGCGCAATTAATTTTGGCTGGGATAAATTACCTTAGAACAAACGTTTACAAATTGAATATCCTTTAATGAGCTAAAGGACGGAGGGCACAAAATATACTAGCTAAAGGAAGGAGGGCACAAACTAAATATAGCTAGTTATTTCTTGCCTCGTTTCCCTCAAAAGCTCTCCGCCTGTTTATGCTGTCCGTTCCTTTTTCTTTTTGACCAGTAGAGCAATTTTTAGTTTATTTCGCAGAAGGAAATTTCAAAAGAGTGTAGAAACAATCACTTTGCGAAGAGCAGGTTCTCGTTAACTTTTGTGTTACTTATTTTAGGCTTTATTTTGTGGGGTCCTCGCTTGGCAGCAGTCGGGCGCAGGCGAGCTGGTGGACATGTATTCTTTTTTCAGTGCCTGGGACCGTGGCACGAAAAACAAAACTTTTAGTCGAAGGAAAAGACACATAAAGAGGACCTTTTGAACTAAGCTACTTTCTTTGCTTTCACGAACACTCATGCACCCAGAAATCTAAGGCCGACTACAGCCATCCCTTAACGTCGCTAAAGAGACCTACACTTACAGCAGTAGCAGGCTACCGGAAATTGAACGCACTGTTTAGCTCGAAAATTGGTCGCTTAAAACATACACAAAATTAACCTTTATTCCCACTCCCCTTCTCGCTCACCTTCAAACTGCAGAACAAATCCGACCTTCACCAAGAACGACTGGTAGTTTTCAAGACTGACCTTCCAAAAGCCTTAACCTCTTCCCCACTCGCCCGTCTTGCGGACAGCTACCCCGAGAAGACTCTGTTGTTAGGTTCAAACAAGGGACTTGGATTGAAATGTGTGAGGTTGTTGTGAAACGCTCATGCAATGTGGGGTAACCCTTTAACAAAAAAAAATAATAAAATTACCCCGCTCCTCCTTCCCGGCTCACAGTACATCTAACTCATCTGAGCCGCATAACACAAAAAAAAAATTGTGTGCATGTTATTACAGCCTGAACTTTGTTTCAACGGGCTATTTCTCCATCAGCTGTAAATGAGCAAGTTTAGCCAGTGCGGTACAACCACTTGCCTGGAGTCTCTAACGTGCAGAACGCAGTAGAGATACACGGCCGCACGCCGGTAGGATGCTCATGCAGATTGAAACGGGCAGGAGTGGGGATTGAGCCCAGAAACCCTGGGTTCTGCAACGCGAGCTTTCACTCCACGTGCTCCAAGCTGGTGTGCCCTAGCCCACTCGGCCACCGATCCTTCGCCCACTACTCACATGAATATGATAAAACCCTAATAGTTTTAAAGGTGAATATATATACTAATAGAACCTTGCTCCGGGTTGTTGTCTTTTTTTTGCTTTCTTTCATCATGGCATTTAAACTCGCGTTGAGTTTTGATGGGGTATATTTATTTAAAAAATATTCGTTTGGACTAATTATGGTAATTATCACAATAAAGAAACAATGTATAAGTAACGATATGTTTAATTTTTTAAACAGTAACGCGGACGAGTTCCTTTTTCACAGATGGAACTTTAACGTGAACGCGTTCCAAAAATCAGAAGGAACGAGGAACGATCTGTCGTTCCTCTTCTTGAGGAGCGTGTACAAAACTGGGTCTACATAGAAAACGCTTGCCTTGATTACACACAGATGCCAATGCTAAGAGGAGCATACCGTCTGAGTCACAATTTGAGAAAGTCTTAATGTGGATGAAGACGGTTTTATTTTCCAGGTTAACTGCGGGCTAAATGTCTTGAATGAGGCTCGGCATTTGCTCAAAATACCCAGATAAACTCTCATTAAAAACTCGAAATACATATAATGCAAACCGCCAAAAAAATGATATTGTTTATTTACAGACGTAGTCAAAAACAAGCATCTGGATCATGATATCTCTCAATGACGCTATTCCTGAATTCAATTATTATGAGTTTTTCGTAGAATTGCAGGCATAAATACGCATGCGCGGGAAGAATATTATTAAGTTTTATAGTGATAACTTTTTCAAGATGCTCATATTAAAAGAAGAAGGGTTGTCTGTAATAATAGAAAAGGAGAACCTGTGGAACTAGGTGGGTTATATGTTTCTGAACTTTACAATTAAACTTCAAGTACAGTTGTTTACAGCATGGCTTTGTCGCTTTATATTTCTATTTGTTTAAGCGCATCTACGAACACTATTAGCGCCGGCGGAGGGACACGCCTCTGCTAATAATGGGACGAATTCTATAGCCCTTTGGGAGCATATCGCTGTTTGTAGAAGAAGGCACCGCAAACTCAATTTTTTTGTTATGAATTACGACATAGTTTGTCTTGCAGCTACGGCAAGTTGGGCTCAAACACGTATCGAGCGTTCATAGCATTGTTGGGAAGTGTACACGCAGTTAATATTAAATTGTGAAGACCAATCTTATTTGTCAAGTACTTAAGATCTGAAAATATCAATAGTGGAACTCGAGCAGATTTCTGATGCTTGAATTAGTGTGCCTAAATAATTCCCTTCCTAAAATCCAGTACTTTCTCAATCTCTAAAATTTGAAAAGTTCTTAGAAACTGTCGAATTCTATAGAGACCCGAAGAGGCCCTGTGCGTCACGCTCACAACCACAGACCTGCTGCGAAATAAAGCCAACTGAAACAAAGAGGGAGGCTCCAACCGGTTGGCAGGATACCGTATCAACAAAAGGAAAGAACAAAAGAAAAAGATAGCGAGAGACGTGCGATAATCGCGCGTTTATTGTTGAAATCTCTATCTCCTATTGTGTCAGAGATAATATAGTACTGATACCACGAAGGACTGTGCACATTTATCTTCTTATGAGGGAGCTTTCAAGGAGTTAGTCTTCTTGAAGGCAGACCCGATCGGGAACTCCTACGATGGCCAGGCTTAACGACTTTCTATTGTCTTGTTTTTCCTACGGGACCGTGACGCTTAGTGTGTTCCTGTATGTGCCGTTCAAGATGAGTAAGAAGCTGCACGAAGCGTTCTTCGCGCGCTTAGTCTACCCCCTGGCGATGTACTTTTCGGGAGACCGATTGACTGCGGTACGCCGTCATGGGGTGTCCCAACTAGACGACCTGGTGTCTCACGACGGCACGCTCAAGAAGGAGGGCACCATCAGGGTCCTGGAGATCGGCACCGGCTTCGGCGCCAACTTTGAGTACATGCAGCGGAACGTTAAATACTGGAGCTTAGACCCTAACGCGGAGTTCGACTACGGATTGCGGAAGAACCTGAAAAAGAACCCGAACGTAGAATTGGAGCGCTGCGTTCACGAGTACGCCGAAGACATGCGAGGAGTTCCCGATGACCACTTCGACGCCGTGCTAATGACCTTTGTACTTTGCTCCGTAACCGAAGTGAGGAAGGTCCTCGCTGAGTGCAAGAGGGTCCTGGCCAAGGTACGTCACTTCGGGGCTTTTTCGTTGCTTTTTTTCGCTGTTTCCTTGTTGTCCTTGGACTCAGGTATGACAGGGGTTGTGGGAAAGCCCGACTGTCAAGGCTGGTTATTTAGAGGAAACGTTCAGAGGCCATACCACAATCGTGGCTTGGGCCTCCATGAAGTTTGTCTTACCTTGCATGTGACGATGAAATGCTTATTTAACTTTAATACCAAAAATATGAGGGTATAGATCACCGGTGGTACAAAAATGCTCCTCCTTTGTGCTAAGTAAGGTTAGGTTAAGTTTGGCTAAGCATCTGGACAGGGAATGATTGAATGTTTGCGTAACTGCTGTACACTTCAACTACTTTTGTCTAACAGAAATGCTTAAGTCTTCAATACACCTGCTGCAAAGCGTGCATAACTTTACGGCGCTCCAAAAACAAATTGTGGGTGCTGACTTTATGGAGCTGAATGTAGGAGACGACAAAGGCGACCTTGGAGGAAAAAGAGGCAACAGAGGCGACTTGGCGAAAATGAATGAAAGAATAAATGTTTATTGCCATACGTTATACTGGCTGGCCTGCCTCGAGTCAGCTGGGTCGGAGGGGGGGGGGGGGGGGGGGAGGGAGGCAGGGAGTGTAGAATCTAGATGAAGGAGCCATGACCTGCCGACTTGAGGTCTAGCAGCCATTGTTGTTCCACATACTCGACAACAGTACTAATTTACTAAATACCCGGTTCAAAAAGTAATTATAGATATTGCTCAAGTAATTTTCACTGCAGAGTACCTTGAGTAGACTGCACATACTTAAAATATATTTAATCCCTTTTGAATATACTTCTGCACTGCGCAATATTGACTTCAGCGGCACGAGAATGCTATATGAAAGAAAACAAAGACACTTTTGAATGCTACAAAAATGAAAAGGAGATCGCTTTATGTATAGTCACATCGTTGAAAATGACACCTTGTAGTGGTAATATTATGCGCAGCCCGGTGGCATAAGTTGACATATATAAGGAGTTTATGTTAAACAAGTATTTAAGTGGATTACCCAAATGCTACAGTTAAAGATGGCAACTTCAAAAAAAAAGAAGGAAAAAAAAACACAAGTGGACGCTAAAAGCAATCCTCTCTTTCTCCTGGTTGTCGATTTTTTATATTTTGTTTTACCTCTTTTTTTGTATAAGTGCGTTCAGAAAGGCTTACAGCCTGGGAGTACTCTTTGGTTGCATATTGAGAGGCTGACATTTTTGCCATAGCGGGGTCATAGATAAAAAAATATTTACTTTTTTTTGCGGTTCATCTTCATTTTTTTTACCTGTTCTTTAAATTTCTTTTTGAGTCGCCATTTTGGGTCCTTGTTGTTTCCTGTTGTGTCTGGTACCTACTGATTCAAGTTTTCAATCACTCAGCTTTGCGCAATTGATGGTTCCTATTCCCGTAAAAAAACTTTCTCGACAATTATTTTCAACCATTACAAAATTAAATTGAAATGGGTACAAGATACAAAGTAATGTAATTAAGATTGAGTAGTAAATACTTTTTGATTTAATTGATTTGCAAGAATACAAATTACTATCAAATGTATTTGAAATACAGTTTCTTGCGCTGATTATCTGTGTCATACACAAGTTCTTCAGGGAGCCGAGTGCCGCATTACGGTGCTTTATTTCCCCGACTGAAATGATCCATTCGCACCTTTTTAGAGCGCAGCTCTTAAGGCCCTGTCACACTGAGGCAACAGTTGGACAACTCTATCCGGCAACACGGGAAAGTCGTGTTGCCGGTGACCCTGTCACATCACGGCAACAACAACACTCGGGCAACATGTTACTGCCGCCCGGCAACCGTGTTGCCAGATTTGTTGTCCGACAACCCTGACACACCGCGCTGACGGCGAGGACAACACGGGGAACACTCCGCCATCTTGATTGTTTACCTCCGTTCGTGTGCGGCGCGCTATCGCTGGAAATGTGACTCTACAAAGTGCTAGTGCGTTCGAAGGGCCGGGAATTACCACGGTACGACATCAACCAGTGACTGTGATTAGAAATCTTGACACGGGGAGTATTTTCCGCTGTTGATTTTATCGAAATGTTCTTCATTCGCTGACAAAGCAGATAGCCCTAACCGAAAACAGTGACATCGCTGATATATTTTCGGGATGTCCTATGTCTACCGTAAAATTGAGTTAGCCCCGGCAGTACCCCAAAGCGTCTTTTGTAGCGTGGTGTTGAGCTGAACTGACAGTGCTTCAAAACCGCGTCACCGACACGATCGGCCTTCATAACAATCGGTGGAATAAATATTTTGCAACGCTGTCTATTTGCCCTACTCCTGCTATATGATCGCTTCATTCCCCAAAACGTCCTGAGTGTTTTTGAAACAAATCAGGTGTCTGGTAGCGGCTGTTTCCAAGTTCCAAGCATCAACAATCATGATCAGAATGGTCGTTTTAATGCTTCGATTTTTTAATCTTTGGTTTTCTGAATTATTTTTATGATACTTCATCAGCGGGTGAGTAGGCATGTTATTTTATTTTACTATCAGTAATGTGAGCTGGTCTCTCGGCAGTTCTAGTTTCAAAGCCAGTCTGAACGTTCACGACCGTAGCAGTGACAATTTCGAAAATCGCTTTACGTAACTACGCCGCAAAAACATTAATTCAAAATTAGCTGCATGCCAGCCCTAATTATTGTTAAATAACGTTTTCGAAGCCTTTATTTGAGTAACACGTTATGGATACCCTATTGAAAATTCCATCAAGATACGTAATTTGGGACACCGACTGCCAGTCAGCAGCCTTGGTGGAACGTGCCCTGATGGTCCATCAGATGACGTCTGACTGCCACTGCCAAGGGAATTTTATCAACAAGGGCAGCATTTATATAAGAGTAAAGCTATACGCACTCATAAATATCGCCAAATACCTCGACAAAACAAAATGTTCGAGAAAGAAAAAAAAACACAAAAAAGCAGGTCCGCCACGGGTCGAACCTGCGTCCACTTGCGTGCAAAGCAGACACCTTAACCCCTATGCTAGGCCACCTTTTTTTTCTTTATTACCCTATGCTACGCCATCGCTTAGGAAACTCGATTTGACCATTGGTTTTATACGAGTTTAGCGGAGGGCGTATAGCAATTTCCGTCCGAAGCTCGCTCCGGAGTGCGTATAACTTCACTCATTATATAAAGCTCAAATTCCGAGGTGGCAACCTTGGATGGCTATGAGACGGTTCACAAGCCGAGGTGGCTATCTCGCATGGCTGTGAAACGGTTCACAAATCCTTAAAATGAATGTAATTCATGACATCAAAATCAGGAAAAGTGTGTACCCGTCCTTTGATTTTTTTCCCCCTTTTTGAAATTTGCGGTTTTCGGGCAAAACGGACATTCTTTTACAAACGGGACCACAGGCACCGTAAGCATGTTTCAAAGAAACGCCCTCGATGTCTGAACCTTTCGAGACGACCGTATACACTTTAATTCACAAACCCTATGCGACTGCGTTGAAGCTAGAGAGCAAGCATGCATGCTACGACAGACAGCCCTGGCTTCCACAAACTAGCGCGAGCAGCAGACATATCTGAACTACGCTCGCGGATGCTTTTTGGCTGCACTCTCATGAAACAATAATAACGAGGTACGACACAGTGGTAAGGCCAATAGCCCATGCCAGATAGAAAGGTATAAACTTTCGAGCCCAAACCTCTCGGACCGAGTCAGGAGTATTTTAGTATTGCAGCGCGAGATTCCGACAATGAGCGCATCACTCTATAGGATGCTTCAGCTGCATATGCAGTTAAGCCTTCAGCATGTTATGCAAAGCACTCGTACATCACTCGCCGTACTTCAGTTCTACTCACCTGCCATGTAGAGTACTTTCGCGCCGTAGAGCGATCCTTTTGTTCGCGCGTCTCAGGCCCAGTAGACCTGGTACACCCTCTCGTCTTCAACTACACCGCTAAAGTCCCTTACATCGTCGGAACTCACAACAGGCTGCGTCTTGTCGAGTAGAAATTCTACTAAAACATAAGACATTGTAGAGCCCGGGCAGGATCGACAGGTTGCAGCAAGCGGGCAAACAAAACCAGTCGAGAGCGATCGTTCACGGAAGCTCGGCGAAGCCTCTATGGACGAAGCGAAAGTGGCGTGTTCGGCGTTTCGGCGGGCTTCTGATCAAGGTTGTCGGTCGGTTGCGTGTCATACCTCTAACATCAGCGGTTTTATGGGCTCACGGTTGAAATCGTTTTCTCGTGCATAGATTATTTTTTGTATTCATAGATTTGAGAAAATAGTGGTATCCGAACGAACTTTACGTCCTTTGAACGTACGTCTGTCTGCACGTCAAAGCTTTTTGACGTACAGTCGGAGACAATCTATGTACGATCAGAATCGCCACCAAGACATCTTGATGGCATTTCGCGGCGGCCGACTGCTACCAGGAAACCATCAGAAAGCCGACAAGTGGAGTCTGACTGAAGTTTGACTGTCGGTCAGAGTAACTTGTTGGCCAATCAGACGTGCTTGACGTACAGTCAGGCACAGTCAGCGGCCCACTAGAAAACATTCACTGCCAAACAGGGTTACATCGATGGATTTTTCATTTGGGTAGGGTCTAGCTGTACCATCGAAGCTATGTATGTTGTCATGTTGCCGGCCCAAAATTCTCTCAGCCAGCGATCAGGGTAACACACGTTGTCCAACACAAGTTGCTGCTGTTTTTGTTGCCGAAAGCTTGCATACCGAGGCAACATTTTAGTTGTCGTCCATGTTGTCGCGCTGTTGCCGCGATGGGACATGTTTGTCGGACAACATGGGGAGCGAGCAACAAGTTGCCCGACTGTTGGACGACGTGTTGTGTTTATTTTTTATTTTATTTAGAGGATACTACAAGCCATTGAAGGCCCAAGTAGGTGTGGGATACAACAGATACATTCACACATATACAACGAAAGCAAATAACGCGACATTAAAAGGTTCACAACTAACTAGCAAATATACAGGATATA